TCGCTCGCTAACCTCCTTCACAGTATTTACATCCACCTGAAGGAGTTTCTCTCTCCGACAAAAGACTTCGCTTAGTGAATCACTCTCTACCTTTGGCGCTTCAAAGTTCAGCTAACGTGACCAATTCATATTGAAGATGAGAGAAATTCGAGTGGACGGTGAGCATTGCATATGCATACATGGGAGATGTCGATGTTGACGCAGATGCCAGGAAAAGGAGAGCTTTTTTCGAACACCTACGCCAATGTTCCAGCCACGATATCACATGAGTGCTGTAAGCAAGCGGGATAGCTCTATGGACAATAACCTGTGACCACCGATATAGAAAACACAATTCTAGTACTGTTTGACCATTTACCCAGTATAAGTCCACAACAGCACGGGTTCACGTTCCTGCCGCTGAGGGAAACTTTCAGCTGATAAGTACTAACCCCCTCCACCAAGTATCCGTCCTCTACCGACCCCCGCCCATCCTGGCGCATCCTTCGCGTTCTGTCTTACTCTCTGCCAACTGTCCTGAAGCATCCTTGCATCTTCCGGAAAGTTCCCGAGAACTTTTTCCAGGTTTTTCCCCAAAATTTGGCCGTCGGAGCAGGCCAGAGAAAAATGGAAGGCCAGCCCCTACTCCGGCGACCCGAATACGCCCCTCGCCACCATATTCCGCGCAACGTAGGATCGTGCGCCAACCTGGTCACAGAGCCGCATTCAATCCCTGCCCTGTCTACTGTCGCTCAGGTGGCTTGAGCAGCACAAGAAGAACCCCAGAGGGAATTGAAAAGTAAGCCTCTTCCGAAACTTCCATACCTTCAGTTAATTCGAGAAAAGGACGGAGCGAATGAAATACGTGATCGCGCGAAAGAAGGAAGCTGTGATGGAGAGGCTCACAAGGAGAAGGCTCGAGAATTAGTTGCTATTATCTTCCGCTGCTCAGCCGGTACGAACTGCGGCGTCTTGAAAAAACTCACATTCACGCAGTTCACGGGCAGCACGGATGTTAGAATGCAATTCCGGGCTTCGACATACCTTTACCGACCACTCCATGCAATATCGACACCAATAGCTGCAGCTTAGTAAGCTGCGAATTGACCGGCATTCTCATCAAAGGGACTGAATTAATGGCCGAAGACATTATCCTTTATTCCTAAGATTTTGGTCTTCTAAAAAGCTGTTGGCCCTTAAACCCTGTTGCGGTCCTGCCATTTTTTGTTTTGCTAATCTGGCTGGTTAACAATTCTTGACAGATTGATAAAATATGTTTGTTGTAACCAGACACTCATATACCAGTAAGCCCTCGGAGAAGCATGTCGAGAAAATCACTCGGAAGGATTTCGAAAATATATCATTTGGCCTTCCCCTAGCGTCTGAGAGACGACTCCTGCTAGCCTGTCGCACGTGTGCCGGAAACAATCTGCACTTTGTATTTAAGCGTCCGCTATAGGATTGGATGTCAAATGGAGTCACGGCAATTGCCAAAAAACATTTCCGTTATCATCTCTTCTGGCCCCCCCCAGTCCATACCTCATTTCATACATTTCAGGCGTTGAATCACCTCGATTCATGCCTGCTGAGACGATTGGGTAAGAGGTGAACTTGGAGAGGGCGCGGTAGAAAAAAATTGTCAGACACATAGAGGGCCTGAGCGCGCGTATCGCTACACTGGAACCAACCAAACAGGACGGGGGCGACTATCAAGTGTTTTCAGTTTAATTCGTACACAGTTTCATTAGTTTGACGGCGTTAGTGCTCACAAGGTACTAGGAAGACATGGGACATTCTCAAGTTTGAGCACAAGATGTCCTTCAGCGCGTATGATTAGAACAAAATGCTCCAGTTAGAAGGCCAAAAAACGAACAACAGCGCAGAGAGGGGGGGCGGGGGGGCGATTGCCACGGCACTTCCCGTCTTAAGCGGCTAAAAAGGGTCATCGGACTCGATCCAAACTCATAACTGCACTCTCGAGCGCACAACGTCATACAGACGGCGAGAGCGCACAGAAAACAGGATTTCTCCAAAATGTAGGTGACTCTTGTGTGATAAGCTGCTCTTGGTTATGGCCCCTTTTAGGTGCAGTAATCTGCGCGCGCGATATTTCCTTCACGCCCCTCCACAGACCGTTATCCTGCCATATAATTATTCGATCAGCGTAGAAGAGGAGGGGGAGGGAGGGGTGGCCAGGTTTTACGTGGAGGTGGATTCGACCAAAACCCAAGCCATGATGTGTCATATGAACTCACACGGACTGTAGAGAAACACAATTGACAGTTCAGCAATGACCCTTGAAAGCTTGAAGGCCCCTTTTCGATAAAAGCATAGGTGTCAGCACATATCTTCGACTAAATTTACCTGCATTCGTTAAGCATGATGCACTTTGCACGGAGACGCAGCGTTAACGATTATCGGCCACCATCGGGCGAGAGATTGAAATATTGACAATGAGCACATTGCCCACAAACATCTCATAGGCAGCTATCCAAACAAAGCAGCGCATCAATGTCTGAATGGGAGTATTTGTCACAGGTCGATGACAAAAAAGAGACGAGTCCTTGCAAGGTGAACCAACTTCTTTATATCAAAGCCGTCATTTTGAATATCTTGGCCACCTTGATGCATTCTATAGGGTGTCAATGCTGGAACTAGTACGCCCGGTGCTAAAGAGAAAAGAGTCAGGGTTGTGAAACATTAAACTAAGGTATAAAAGAACACCCATTAAAACACGCCAAATGAATTATGTCCAAATCAACAAAGGGTATTGATCCGCCCGCAATGTCATCTGCCATCGATCATTCGGCCTTTGTTGGACAACGGACACGGCCCTTCCCTCCATTTCTCATCGTAGTGCTTATTGAAGCTATGTGGTCTATACAATGACTTCGCGCACGCCAACTGGCTACAAGTCAGGTTTCTTGTTCTCCCAAGGAAAACCTCGGTGGCAACCGTTCTCCCCCGAGGACGAAGGCTTAGTTGACCTGTGCGGGAACCGATCCCTTGATGTGGCCCCGCAAACCCGCCACGCGTGATGACACTAAGCACTAAAGCCAAAGAGAATTGAAAAAACAGGACGGGTAATTGAAGCCGCGCGTCAAATTTTGCTTACGCATACAGTGTAGACGGCGCCGGAGTAAATAGAGGGCTCGGTCGGAACTCGATGCTATAGACTTGATCGTGATCGGCCTACCGCCCAGCGCAATCAAGTGTGGTGGTATGCGCAACGACGGATTGGCCATAACTAGAGGCGTTTTTTCTCACAAAACCCTACATGAAAGTGAGAATTGTTCAACGAGCGTCGGAGCTGTTCGACATGATAAGTCTGCTGCTCTAGAAGAATGATCGGATTACCTTTGACTAGTGAAGATTTTATAGATTTTCTATTGCTACTTGAAGAGTGTCGGGTCGACACAAATGTGAGTTCTTGACAACAACTTTTTGCCAATCTACTCTCAGCAAGACACAGTGCTTCTCAGGACAGCTTGACACTGGTTCATGAAATTCAGATATGGTAATTCGGCCCCTGTGGACTCTATTGCATGGGGCGCCTTTTGGGGATAAACTGCTGGCAGAACCCATCCACCATTTTCAGGCCTCTCCCATCAAGTGAAGGTAATGCCAAATGGCAATGTGGAGGCCTTCTACGATGCCTATCATTTCCTCATCTTTTGGCATAAATCTCTGTGGATAAGGTGATCCAGTACACTAAGTTGAACCCAATGGGGTCAATAGGCTCGATGCTTCTCTGTGGGGTCAAAATTGAAATTTCTGAACCGCTTGAACCGTGGTATGCATTCCTGTAAGACAAAGCTCGGCCTATGCTACCACTCATTTTATTGGATGTAAAAAAGAGAAACTGACGAAAATGCCCAGTTGACCTAACAAGCTATTTGGAGCACTTAGAAATCTGTGGAAAGAGAATCCAAAAAAGAAGCTAAGAAACCAATAGAATATCGGCACACTGTACCTCACCTGCATTCGCCTTTCCTTTGACTTCTTTTACATGTCTTTTGGGGCATAATTATTTTTATCTGTGTAATAGCTTTCATCGCAGCTAAGGTTTTTTAATTCTTAGTGACTCTTTTTATTCTTCCTTTACTCGGTTCCTCTGTGATCTGCCGATTTAGTCACTTCAGGCAGATTAGACTGACTGCGAAGGCACTGAATTGCTTTTCTTTCATTTTCTGTCGATCGCTCGTTTTTTGTTTACTTGCTTTAATTCTTTTACTTACTTCATTTCTTTTACTTTTTTGATGACCAAAACGGTCGTTGACTTTCTCACGAGGTCGAATAAGGCAAATACAAAGTGGGAGTTAGGCATGTGACATTTTTCTAGAAACGAATTATGATCTGGCCTCCCCTATGCTGCAGAGACAGTTTTTCTTCGCTTTTTTGTACATGTTTTTTGAAGCGCAATTGTTTTCATCTTTGTAGCGATTTTCGTCTCAGGTAATGTTTTTTGGATTGTTGGCGACTCTTTTTATGCTTCTTTGTTTTTACTCAGCTCTTCTGTGATCTGCCCTTGTAGTCACTTCAGGCAGATTTGATTGACTCCGGAGGTATTGAATTGCCTTTTCTGTTTTCTGTCGACCTTTCGCTTTTTGCTTACTTATTTTAATTCTTTTATAACTTTTTGTTGCTTTGCTGCTTACCTGGCAATGATGGGGAAAACAGTCTTAACTGCAATAATATATTTCGACAATGCGAAATAGAGAATGATGTCGTATATGGGAGTGTCGCTCTCGCACGGCCAAGTTTGATTACTTGGAGATCAAGACGGAAGGGCATTGATCCTGAAATCAGTCTTTAAGCCTTTCCTGAGTTCAAGCTCTGATTGTACATAACAAAAGTAATCGTGATTTTCACCACGTACCGCTGTCATGTGCATCAGATTTTTATTTAGATCCAGAATGCGATTCATGTAGTTTTGTCCCAGTTCGAGTAGAGGCGGCGTTCAAGTGTTCCAAGAAGTCCGCAACACGTGCAAGCCCTACGTCAGCAATGTGGAACGATTCATGCTTGTTGCAATGCGTTCAAGAAAAAGGTCAGCACAGCATTGCGAATCGACGTAGCAGTAATTGCTTCATGTTATTGTTCAGATTCGGCGAAACGGTATCTGTGGATGATGCCATATTCTCGTGTGATATTGTCAAGGAGTTTTTTCGTAGACTCCAAAATGCAAGTGTACCAGTGGGCGTACGTTCCATGTTCGCCAAGGCCATCCTGTCGTTTTACAAGTTCCTTCAAGGAAACATAGGCACAGGTATATGTTGGTTGAGCAGAGAACCTTTTTTCCCTATGAAAATACAAGAGTTGTAGCTGCTGGAAGTGATCGGATTAATGGGATCCAGCAAGCAGTAGTACTTGCTGAGCGTGAAGTGAACAGATTGAAAAATGAGAACGAAATGTTGAGCACATTCGGTGGAATTTCTGCTGAAAGAAGATTGCAGGTAACTAGAATGCGAAAACGTCAATGACTACGCTGCTGAAACATTTCCGATTGTAGTGACCTGTTCAGGAGCTGGAGCGATACTGTGCAGTGAGAGCAATCGTGAAATCGAAGCGCATAGATGAAAGAGTAGCATATATGGTGCAAGCATTCAATGAAAACGGATCCATAAACCATTATGATTACAACTATGTGATGGGGTATCGTAGTTTGACGTGGTGACGTCGCAGCATGAAGCATGAAAGAGTATTATTCAGTGCTATCATGGCGTATTTGGTGCACTGCAACGCTGCACGAAACGAGCTTTGTTACAAGACTCGTTATGGCAACATGTGTGGAAGCAGCGAAGGATGCAGCGGACTAGAACCGGTCGAACACCGACATGTCTTGAGATCGGAGCAATGTTGGGTCAGTGTTTTGAAAATGATGTGTGTGATTTGTAAGATCATATTATAAATTCAGGTAGGAAAATACCCCCTACCAAAGCACCACCATAGGGTCCGAGAACCGACCAGCTGGAGCGGTGGCTACTTTGTTGTGGACGAGAAGTGTAAAAAATGGCTTGATTCCTATGTGAAGCTGCGTGAATAGTGGGTTGATAGTTGTTGGTGTCGCTCATAACTGATGTAATCTGGCAGTGATTTAGCATATGCGGCCAAAGCAACATCACGGACGCACAACACCCTTTGAAGCCGTTTTTCCTCCTCTACAACGGAGGCAGCATGACGCCGGGAAGTGCACGACGTCTAGTGACCGATTTCTTCAGCGTTTTAGGATGTGGAAGTGTTGCAATTAGTTGTAATCTGGTATGTTCACCTGGTCATATCGCACTGATATGAAGTATAATTATATTTATTAGTTTATTTATTATATAGTGTAAGTGTGTTCGTTCAGACAAGGCGTAGTGTTGCTCGTATGGAGTACGAGAAGTATATGGAAGAGAAGATGAAAACCTTCGGGCCTATTGCGGATCCGCACATCGCCAGGCTGCAGGGTATTCATAGTTTAGCTTTATCTGGTTTATTATTCGAGGAAGGGAGCAATCTGAAATCAATTCCTTTTTCTTTTTTTAAGTCATAGTCTTGTTTACTGTTTGGTTCCGAACAGCTGTACAATTGTAATGTACAATGCAAAAGAACGGTTAAAAAAACTTTTGACAGCTCACCGGCAAAGGACACAGGAGGAGATTTATGTGGAACGATATCAAAAGTCCTGTGTGTATGGGTATGTGAAGTTGAGGGCGCTTGCTAAAGAAGAGTCCAAGAAGAATGACACGATCAAAGCGCGTGTCGCAGAAGTGAAGCGGACGGTGAAACCGTTGTCATTGTAAGCACATTGATTGCTCATCACTAAAGGCAACGCATATGTATGACGACAAATTACAGCTACTTGACCGGCCCTGAATTGGAGCAAGCACGGAATGTGATCAGAATCGATGATGAGGATACGTCTGAGTTTAGCGAAGAAAGCTTGAATGATGCTGTAGGCGATTATCGGGATTTGGCTGGACTGAGTGAATCAGGTACGACGGGCTACTTGTGTCATATGTTGTTAGGTTAAAAGAATGTTCAACGAGATTTAGATGCTGACCAGCCTTCAACATCCACAGGGTTGCGTGCCAGCAAGCGAAGAAGATTGAGCGAGACAGGCGATGACGCTTCTGGGACGCGAGCAGCGAGAGGACAGGAACAAGAAAGTCGTAGGAAACGCAGAAGTCCACGTCCAGTACGCGGCAGAACACCACCGGCTGAAGAACAAGAACGAGGACAAGGAGGAGAACAGGAAGCAAGAGGAGCAGAAGATCGACCAGAGGAGCGAGAAGAAGAGCCGCAAGTTGAACTAGAAGTAGAAGAAAGAGAGATAGAGCCAGAAGAACAACCTCCAGTTGAACCACAACTAGAAGAAAGAGAGATAGAGCCAGAAGAACAACCGCCAGTTGAACCACAACTAGAAGAAAGAGAGATAGAGCCAGAAGAACAACCGCCAGTTCAACCAGAAGTAGAAGAAAGAGAGAGAGTTCCAGAAGAAAGACCAGAAGAAGAGCCACAACTCACTGAACAGTTCATAAGGGACGTGTTGAAGCGCGGTGCAGAGGCACGAGAAAAGTATGAGAAGCAGTTGAAGATTTTAATGCGTGAGCGTTATGCTTCACCACTGCCAGATCCAGCAGATCCCACGAATGTCGTGAGGTACATGCAAGAGCTGAACGACAAAACCTATACAGGAGGACTGGGATACTATCGTAGTGAGTACGAGCAGCAGTGTTTCGATCAACGACGCCTAGCTCAGCCGATTCAGGTTAATTGATTGTATCCCTGCTACATATGCACATGATATGCACATTCATTTAAGGACTTTCCTTGGCTCGAAGTGCGCGATATTCCTAGCATCAATGGACGAGGAATATTCGCTAAAACTCGCATATTGAAGGACCAAATTGTTTGCGACTACAGGTGAACTGTCTACGATCCTGCAACAATCGCATATGATAAAATGAAACTCTCTTTAAGGGGCTTATTTTTGACTGTGGAAGCGCGAGACAGGATGCTAGAGCATATGACCCATGCAGAGTCGGATTTGGTTGGCGACTATGAAGTTAGCTACCTGGGTAAGCTTAGCAGAGCACAAATGAACTTTAGTACAACATCAAGAAACACATTTTAGGCTATATATACGATCCCAAAGGCAAGGCAGCTCGACAGGCGCAGGATTACTCAATCCTTGCCCATGATCCCATATACAAGGGCGCTGTAGTACTGGGTCGTCTATTCAACCACAGTCAAAAGCATGCCAACCTCAAATATTGGAAACATACTCGCTCGTTCTCGACCGATCAGGGGAAACAGAGCGAGCACATAGTCCTGTTCAAGGCCACACGAAACATAGAAGTAAGCACTGTTCTCCTTTACCCACACTATAACACTTGGTAACTTCACTATTTACGTATCGGTCGTTCAGAAAGGGACACAGCTTCTGTGGAATTACGGCCCCCTTTACGGAAGAACGACTGAAAAGCGTATGGATTGTTTGTGTTCAGAGTGCAGCGAAAATTTGGGTCAGCCAATACCATACCACTATTCATATTGACTGATTTCACAATTCGTCCATTGCAGAGAGATCAGAGAAGTTTGCCGTGGACGTCGATGTGCCACCGAGAATGGGCGCCATGCCACCTGACGACGACTCTTATTCGCAGCAAATGGGCGTTTCACCAGAAGAGGAGTTGTTCGACGTACGGCGCATCGTCACTGCACACAACGTCTTGTGTTCATTGAATGTGAAGACCCGTGTGCCGGGGCTCATCGGTTCGAGTCGCCTTGCGGATGTGGGCGACGCATATCGTCACACTCGATTGATGTTCTTGGGCGAAGAGGTTGGTCTTATCGATTTAGGCGAAAATATTGTGTATTGTTATACTGTGATCATCGTTTAGGACGGCTACCCACTTTCGGAAGATGACGGCAACATTCCACTGAACGCAAATGCGCTACTCCAGTTGCTATGTGTTGCGCATAGAGATGCGTATGGAAAGGGAAACCCTCTGGTATTGCTACTGAAGCACGAAGAAGGAGGAGCGAGAAAGCGTAGGAGATCAGTGGGCGCTGTCCTGGTAGTGGTATTGTTGGGCAACCTAATCGAAGCGGTTGAGAAGAAGCGCTATGGAAATTGTATAGTCTATGACGACGTGACGAAAGACTATGAGGTTGTGGTAAGTATAAAATTGTGTGGGTGTCTTTCTGCACAGAACGCAAACGCCAGATGTCAACGTTTCAGGTCGAGCAAACTGGAGACAAGGAACGAGGGAAGTCACTGCTGCAGACGTTCGGCGAGGCACGGCTCTTCTACTTTCCCACGCTCATTGAAGAAATGTGGACGAAGTTTCGCAGCAACATTAACATTGATGTAAATGACGCCGTAAAGATCATGGACGAATGTGACCCCTATAGAGACGTGCGGAAAGTAGTGCAAGAGAGGTGTGGTGTCAAAAAGTAATGTATACATGTATAGTTTATGTATAGTGTGCAGTAGAGTTATTTCTGTAAAGACGGAGCATACGGGTGAATCACCACATACGGGTAACAATCTCCATTTACGGGTGATGGATGAAGGGGTATGTGTGATGTCTAAGTAAGGGTAAAACCCTCCTTATACGTGTACCTTACGGGTGATCGGGGTGTGATATCCGCCTACGGGTAACAGATCCCTCATACATGGACTTTACGGGTAGTGGATATTCGGGTTGTATACGAGTAGACACGTGTTTTCAGAAATGTTCCTATTTATTGTAAAGTATGAAGCTAAATCAAAATCATGAACTCACCGAAAACTATGAGTATGGTAAGTGTAAAATTGTGTAGTTGTCTTTCTGCCAGAGAAGGCAAAACGCATGTCAACGTTCCAGGTCGAGCAAACTGAGGACAAGGCCCGAGAGAAGTCACTGCTGCAGACGTTCGGCGAGGCACGGCTCTTTTACTTTCCCACGCTCATTGAAGAGATGTGGATGAAGCTTCGTCCAGCAACATTAATATTGATGTAAAGGACGGCCGTAAAGATCATGGACGAATCTGACCCTATAGAGACGTGCGGAAAGTAGTGCAAGAGAGGTGTGGTGTCAAAAAGTAATGTATATATGTTATAGTTTATGTAAAATGTGCAGTAGAGTTAAGTATTGATCTCTGTAAAGACGGAGCATACGGGTGAATCACCACATACGGGTAACAATCTCCATTTACGGGTGATGGATGAAGGGGTATGTGTGATGTCTAAGTAAGGGTAAAACCCTCCTTATACGTGTACCTTACGGGTGATCGGGGTGTGATATCCGCCTACGGGTAACAGATCCCTCATACATGGACTTTACGGGTAGTGGATATTCGGGTTGTATACGAGTAGACACGTGTTTTCAGAAATGTCCCTATTTATTGTAAAGTAATGAAGCTTAATATCAAAATCATGAACTCACCTTACAAGCAAAGTAGTTTACTGAATACCTGAAACGCACAAATAACAACATGAAAATGCGGATTTACGAAAAGGCTGTTTCGCCCTCTCAACCACAGACAGCCAAGTGCACAGATGGGCTCATCAGTGTGGTCTATAGAAAGAGTAGAGCATGTTGGTAACATTTTGACACCCACATAGACAGCAACGCAGCACAACTCACACACACGTTCACACCATACCACCCACACAATGGAATGGAAGAGGAATGGAAGGAATCGCTGTAGAGCTGACGAGAAAGCTGATATGGGCTAGATTCCTTCAAAGTTCTGCCGCAATGCAGCGTCCCGTCAGCAGAAAACAGCAAACAGAAAAAAGGGCCAGGAAGAAAGAAAAAGGGAAAATCGAGCAATACAGCAATGCAAAAACAAGGGTTGTGCGAAATGCATCGGGTGAGGGAACGGTCGTAAACAGGTCGGTGGCAGCAAAACAGCAGAAAAAGGTTATCGCTAATTTGAGAGCGAACACAGCGCTGCAGAGGACCCGGATGTAGGAAGGGTACCCCTGTAACGCCCTATCGAGCAACAGCATTCCTTCCCAAACACCTTCCTCGCCCGTCCGTCCACAAACGGACGACCGTTCCTGACGCTCGTATTCATTCAGTTGCTGAGTAAACTATGAAGCAAAGGTATTGGTATGGAGCGGCCGTGAAGCTGCATGCATATATGGGCACACATATGCAGCCGTATCTTCGGGTAGCGGTGATTGGTAAGATGCCTACGGGAAACTCGTCCGAAATCAATTTTCAAGTCACTGAGAACGGAGGCTTTTCCTTCGCAGGATTTTGACCCTTTCACTCCGTCGTTTCGCCATTTCCCCACTACATAGGGCCCTACCAGCATTTTAGGCCGAGTGGGAAAGCATCGTGCCAAATGCCTTTAAAAGTTGCAGGCAAAACTACTAAGAAGCGTGTGTTCTGGAATTATTCCAAGTTTTTTTCTGCTGCAGTAGCTCTTCAGATGGCTTGATACGTCGATGGGGCGTAGCAAAAGTGCAGAATGCCCCCGTCGCCGAACCACGCCGAAAGGCCCTATTACACTTCAGCCATATCTGCAGGTTTTCAGAAAAAGTAAGTCAGTGATGTAATTCTACGTCGTGTATGTTAGAGAGAATTCGGAGGTAGAGAAGGACTCCAAAATTGAGGAGAAAGTTTTATTGTATGTAAGCAGTCATTTTTTGGGAAATTGATTCACAACATATAGACTGAATTTCAAATAACTATAGCGGCATTCGAGAAATCGTTCCCTGGAAGAGCTGTCGTTGAGGAACAGGTCCTGAGAAAGCGAACACTTTATGGTTAGAACCAGGTTCAAACATGAGATTAGGGAAAGTGATCAATAGCCCAGATGGACTTATCACTTTGCTGAGATCACCGTTTAGGATGTCGATTAGTCACGCAGGATAGATGATGGGCAGAACATCAAGAGATCTTTCAAATTTTTCAGACATAAATGGCAGCATTTTTCACTGAAAGATCCACTTTCCTCAAATGAGGGATAGCTAGCCTTGCAGTGGCCATGATACGCGAAACTGCAATATGCAATGAGCTCTAAAAAAGGGGAATTTCATATTTTTCCGTAAACTCACCGGCTGCTAACACGTACACTTTTGCAGCCGATAGCCTGACCACTTTATGACCTAATGTAACCAAACGGGGAAGTGATTCTTCCTCTCCGTTCTAATCTTTTTCCGGCCATACTCATATTCCATCTCGATCTGTCTACTTTCCTCGTGTACGTATTAGAAAAAAAGTTCTCCTACCTCTGCGACTGTGCTGCAGTTTCTGCCTGTTTTTTCGTTTCTTTTAAATCTTCATTAGGAAGAAAGTGGGACGAGGAGTAGCGTTTGATAGGCAGAAGGTCATCTCTAAAACTATGTTTAGATATTTGCTTCGATATGTCAACTTCCTCGCCAGTCTCTCGCCCAGCCGACGCTCACAGCCCGGTCATTATAAATGCGAACTTTTAGAGGGAGGCGGGGGGGAGGGCCGTACGGACTGAACCGAAATCCGCAACCAGTAGGGTGCCCCGAGCTGCCTTCAAGTCCATAAAGGCAGTTAGCACGCATAAATCCAAGCGGAGGTAGGATTAATCCGCCTGGCGGGACGGAATTTTCACGACATGAGCAGGCGCTGCATAATGCCTTTTCCAAGGGAGGGTGCCCTTATAGGCCCTATCAAGCCATAACATACCGATCCAAACGCTTGCCACGCCGCCCCACAAATGGACGACCGTTCTTGACGCTCTGATCGATTCCTTGCCTAAGCAAATTATGAAGCGAAAGGATTGTATGAAGCGCGTTGCGATGCTGCGCGGATATATTGGTACACATAATGCAGCCGTACCTTCGGTAGCGGTTATTGGCAAGATGCCTGCCAGGAAACTCGTCCAAAATTGATTTCTTAACGCCACTGATAACGCAGGCTCTTTCTTCGCAGGACTTTGACCGTTTCACTCTATTCTTTTGCGCATTACCCGAATATTATAGCGCCCTTCTAGCATTTTGGCCAAGCACAATTCATCGTGCCAACTGCTTCAAGTATCAGACTATCCTGAAGGAGTTTTTCAACAAAGACTTCGCTACTGTGAACCACTCTCTACCTTTGGCTCTCCAAGGTTCAGCTAACGTGACCACTCTATAGAAGATGAGAAATCTGACGGTGAGCTTGGATATGATACAAGGGAGATGTCGATCTGAGCAGCAATTTTCCGAAGCACCTACGAATGTCAGCCAGTATCAAAAGTGGCTTTAGCAACGGTAGCTCTTAGGATAAAACCTGTGACCAGCATGTAGAAAACACAATCTATGTATGGGTTGACCAACGTACCCGTATAAGTCACAGACAGGGCACGGTCCTAGCGCTGGGAAACTTCGTAATGCTACAACCCCCTCCCCCAGTGTCGTCCTCTGCGAGCCCCCCCATCCTCTC